GTCCAAGTGGCCCTAGCAACCGGGGGTGGGGCCTGATGGCAAAGTCAGGAAAAGAGAAGGGAGTACAAGTAGTTTTATCTGAATCGATCCCCTACGATGTTCCTAAAGTCACAACGCAATTAATTTTCTGATGACTGAAGATACTAGGAATCAAAGTCCGATTAGATGTAAGTTTACAAACATTCTTCCCCTTCTCCTGGCCAAGTGGATTATTCCAAAGTCTTGCACGGCTAGTTAGGAAAGTTGGGCTTTATTTGGGAGGAAGCGCGGGGTTGAGTTACTGGGAAGAGGGGACTTTTGCGGGGCTGGGGTGTCCGTCTCGCTGGAGGTATAGGTTTAAAGCTTGCGAAGCATGTAGGAGGCGCCTAAAAGGAAATCAGCAATAAATATTCATTGGTCCGTTGAGGGTCTCTTCTGGCCTCAGCTGAGATGAGTGTGTTTTGCCAACACCAAAGGAAGGTAGGGCTCACCCGACTAATTATCTCCTGAATTATTAACCATTTGAATAGAAGGAATCAATTTCTGGGATATGAGAGATGTTAGGAGAGATCTGATGAAGATGAAAGTACAATTGAGAGAAAAGTGAAAAGATGCACACAAAAAAAGAAAATAAAACAGACTATAAAACTAGTGATAAAAGCAGAAAGATGCCATTTGAAATCTTTTGATCTGCTCTAAATTATAACTCCGAGGGTGGCCTTGGGGAAAGAAAGAAAAACAAAAAACCGAGGGTCAAAGCCTCTCCCTCCTCCACCCCCCTCCCACCCCTGCCTTGCTCCAGGCATCAGCTTTCCTGTTTCTGCCTAGGACCTCTCCTGGGGCTTAAGTACCACCTGCCCGGAGGCCTGCTGGGGAAGTCAAGTAGAATAGTTAAATTACTTAATTTATCTAGATGGTAGGCTCCCACGCCTTGGGCCTTGGCTGGTGAGCTCGCTTGCCCAGGGTCTCCAAAGAGACCCATCATGCCAGAGTAACACAAAGCCCAGCCAGTGGGTGTAGACAGGTTTACGTGGCTTAACAGAACGGCTCTAACCCCACTTTTCTCAGAGCTACTGCCCCACCCAAGGCCCTGGGGCAAGCAGCCCTGAGGTAAGTTGGCCACACTCTCCCTTTACCTTCCCCACAGCTATCTGGTACAATTGCATCCTGAACTGGGGCTAATAACTCCATTTCCTCTCTTCCTGCCCCTGCCCCTGCCCCTGCCCCTTCTCCCAACCCCTGGAATGCCTTGTGTCCTCCACTTCTCTCCATCTGCCTCCTGTGAGGAGAACTCCCTGCTTCCCTGCTCTCTCAGAAACCTAGAACCTTGTATGCATGCATATAAGCATAACCAATGGACATAAGACACTGGGGGGTAGGGGAGAAACCTAGAACCTTACACTTGATTGGCATGACCAGAAACTTAAGGTCCTGCTTTCCTGTGCTCATTACACTGAGAGGAAGGTGTAGGATGATACCTCTTCTCCCTTCCCTACTTCTCCTGCCGTGCCCCAAAACACAGCCACGTTCGCTCACATTCATACACACACCATCATGCACACACAACGGCGAAGAGAGATGGGATGGGGAGGAAGGGAAGTTTGCACCGACCAGCTCATGAATGCAACTTGAAAGATTTCACACAGCAAAAGGCAAAAAAACAACTCACACATAAATTAAAAAATAAAGAAGTACAAGCCCCTCCCCACAGCCTCTTTCTTCATCCAGGGGTGGCTTAGCCCCTCCACATAAACTCAGAAGCTTCCTACTCCCTCTGTTCAACGGGAGCTTTTACAGGGCCTGGGTCTTCAATTCAACAGGTTCCCCTGTGCCCTCTGGTTGTGCATTGGCGTCCCTGGGCCTGGTACCCTTGAGAACAGACAGTCTCTCAGAAACACTCTTGGGGCGGGGGAAGAGGAGGAAGTCGTAGAGGAGACTGCCCAGGCCCCCTCCGATGATTGGGCCCACCCAGTATACCTGTAGGAAGAGGAAAGGAATAATCAGGCTTGGGGAGAGGACCAAGAGCAAGGCTGCTCCTTTCTCAACTCCACATGTAGAAAACAGATGTATTGTCCTAGCCGGTTTGGCTCAGTGGATAGAGCGTTGGCCTGTAGACTGAAGGGTCCCAGGTTCAATTCCCGTCAAGGGCATGTACCTTGGTTTCAGGCACATACCCAGTAGGCAGTGGTTCTCAACCTTGGCTGCACATTAGAATCACCTGGGAGTCTTTTTAAAATCCTGATTTCTGGGCCTCATCCTCCGGAAATTCTGTTTCTTTGTTACTAATGTTGTGGCCCCACCCCATAAGAAAGAAACAGAATTTCCAGAGGATGAGGCCCAGAAATCAGGATTTTAAAAAGACTCCCAGGTGATTCTAATGTGCAGCCAAGGTTGAGAACCACTGCCTACTGGGTAGATGTTTCTAACTCTCTATCCCTCTCCCTTCCTCTCTGTAAAAAATCAATAAAGTATATTTTAAAAAAACACAGATGTACTTGGGTACATACTTGGGCACTATTTAAACAGAAATCAGTGTTTGTTTGTTTTTGTTAATCCTCACTCAAGGCTATGTTTCCATTGATTTTTAGAGAGAGTAGAAGGGAAGGGGAGAGACAGAGAGGAAAAAGTCAGTGTGAGAGAGACACATCATTGGTTGCCTTCCGCATGCACCCCGAGGGGGCTCAAGGATCAAGCGTGTAATACTGCAACCAAGGGATCTGTGTCCTTGACGGGAATTGAATCTGGGACCATTCAGTCCACGGGCCGATGCTCTAGCCACTGAGCCAAACTGGCCAGGGCTGTTTGTGTGTTTTTAAATTCTAAACTGTTCCACTGTCTGCACTTCAAAATTCACCATTTTTTTTCTGACTCATCAAATTATTCCTTTATCCCATACCTTCTTAACACATGTACATTCTCTTTGTTGTTATTAGTTGGTACTAGTTTGCATATTACTTTGAAAAATGTTTTGATTGTGAAAAAATGCACATAACATAAAATTTACCATCGTAATCATTTCTTTTTTTTTAATTTACCTAAAAAAAAAAAAGAACTTGACTTGAGAGAGAGAGAGAGAGAGAGAGAGACATTGATTTGTTGTTACACTTATTTATGCATTCATTGGTTGCTTCTTGTATGTGCCCTCACCGGGGATCAAACTCACAACCTTGGTGTATTTGTATGACACTCTAACCAACTGAGCTAGGGCCCTTAACCACTTCCAAGTGTGCAGTTCAATAATATTAAGTATATTCGCATGGTTGTGCAACCAATCCCCAGAACTGTTCATCTTGCAAAACTGAAACTCTACATCCATTAACCAACAACTCCCCATTTCCCCTCTCCCTACCCCCTGTCAGCTATCATTTTGCTTTATTTCAATGAATTCTACTACTGGAAATACCACATATGGGTGCAATTATAAAGTATTTGTCTTTTTGTAACTGGCTTATTTCATTAAGCATAATGTCCCTAAGGTTCATCCATGTTGCAGCATATAACAGGATTTCCTTCTCTTGTAAGGCTGAATACTATGCCATTATACGTATATACTAAATTTTGTTTTTTCATTCATCTGTAAGGGACACTTGGGTTGCTTCTACCTTCTGGTTACTGTGAATAATGTGGCTGTGAAAATGGGTATACAGCTTTGAAAGAAATTATTAGAGTTTAAAGTGAAAGAATTTATTAGTGAAGCAGTGAGACAGAGAGTGGGCTACCCCACAGACAGAGCAGCCTGAAAATGTTTTGAATTATTTTCAGGTTTTGTCTGCCATATGGCCAAACAACACAAGCAATGCGTTTTTATTGAGGATTATTCCAGACCTGATTCTGTGCTATGACTTTCACACTTACGTTCCATAACACCTTGTTTTATAGCGAGGAGATGGAGGTGCAGAACGATTGTGTTCTTGCCATGGTCACACACGAGGCTAGCAAAGTGCTAGAACGGGGATGAGGCCCAGGCCCATCCTGACCTCTGAGAGTAGGAATGTTTGTCTTCCTGTTCAGTTGTCTGTCCTGACGGTGCTAGTTTTGGAATACAGTGGGTACTTAGTAAAATTCCCTAACGAACCAGTGAAGGAACAATATGAGCAAGAGCCTCTCTTTCTGGCAAAATAATGAATCCTGCTCACACAGGCACCCCAAACTCTGTGACAGCCCGTTGAGCTGAGTGCTGGTAGAGCAGTCAGCACACCCAGATGGAAGCAGGAACCAAACCTGGAACCTGCAATCCACACCCATCCGGGGCCTCGGCATCTTGCTCCTCTCCCCGCACTCACCCAGTGGTTGGTGAAGTTTCTGGTGAGAATGGCAGGAGCAAAGGAGCGGGCAGGGTTCATGCCTGCACCAGTATAATACATCTGCAAAAGACACAGTTGTAACTAAGACACTTCCCCCACTCTCCCCAGCTCCTCTCCCCACAGCTCACATATCCCTGAGGGCTGGCACCTTGCCTCTAGCAGCAAGCAGGGAAGGACAACCACATGGGAGCCCCACTGTGGAGTGAAGGTGCTGATGCCCCACCTGGGGATAGACTATGGATCCATCAGCTAAGCCCACAAATACCCACAATGCATGCATTTCCACCTTGGGTTCAAGAAAGACCAGTTACAGCAGTCACAAGAGAGAGTAATAAGGATTGATTCCTCTGGGCTGACTGATACAGAGGGAGGTGAGTAATGTTCATGTTTGATAGTTAGGCGAGAAAGGTTTTGGGGCCCTGGAATCCTTAAAGGAGTAGTTGCTTCCCTCTCCTACTTACCCCAAAGAGGTGCCCCAGGGTGAGGGAGAAGCCAACGGCCAGGGCCACGGAGCCCAGGCGGCCATTCCGCCTCTCGTCGTACGTGGCAAGGATGCAGAGCACGAACTGCAGCGTCAGGAGGATCTCCACCGTGGTGGCCTGGCCCACACTCACCCCAGGGTGCAACTAGGCAAAGGAAGAAGAGAGGAGGCTCAGTAGGGCTGTCACAGCATTGCCTCCTCTAGATTTCCCGGGCAGGAGCCACCCTCCTCCCTTTCCTAGAGATGAAAGACGATAGTAACTGTGTTTGTTTTCTAATTTCTCCTAGCGTGGGAAGTAATTGCACCCAGTTGTACGGATGCAGAAACTGAGGTCCCATAGGTAAAATACGTCCTCAAGAACCTGCGAGGAATCGGAAGGAAAGCTGAGACGGGAACTCAGGTTGCTTGATTCTCAGTCCAGGGCTCTGGACTCTTATCCCTCCAAAGCACCGCTGATCCTCCCCACCCTGAAACACACACACACACCTCACACACACCATGTCCCAGATCCCAGAATCGGAAGGAAAGCTGGGGCGGAACTCAGGTTCCTTGATTCTCAGTCCAGGGCTCTAGACTCTTATCCCTCCAAAGCACCGCTGACCCTCCCCACCCTGAAACACACACACACCTCACACACACCATGTCCCAGATCCCCGGGGTTCGGGTCCACCTGCACCGGGCAGGGAGTCAAGGCACCAGGTTCCCTCAGCCCCACTCAGCCGCTCATTACCGTGTTAAGCGCTAGGTTTCCTCGGACAGCAGGTGGGGTGACACTGTACAGCATGGCAGCCCCCACCACAGCTCCCAGGAGTTGGGCTGCCATATAGGAGAAGGCACGGAGCAGGGACATCTGGGAGCCCACAAGGAAGGCAAAAGTGACTGCAGGATTGACATGGGCTCCACTGATGTGGCCCACCGCCTGCACTAGCGTAGCCAGGACCAGGCCAAAGGCCAGAGCCACCTGCAAGACGTGCAGGGGTCCAGGGCCCCAACGCAGCGAGGCCCCCAGCCCAAAGAAGACGTAGAAGAGGGTGGCAAAGAACTCGGCAAATATGGCCCTCCAGAAGGAGGCTGACTGCAGTTCCCACATGGCAGAGGGGATGGGCACAGTGCCTGGGTCCCTATACCTCCTTGGCCTGCTTTGGGTGGAGAGTCCCCTTTATAGAGGACTCTGAATCCCTGGGAGGGGCAGGCTGAAGGGGCTGGCCCAGCCTCTTAACCCCTTCACAGCTGCAGCGGGCTGGCCCACTCTCATGCCTCTGATAAAGCTGCTGGACTCTCCTCTCCCTCCTCAACTGGGAGGTGAGCAGAAGAGGCGTGGGTGTAAAGGTGGGGGTAGGGTCAGGGCTGGAGAGGCTCTGGAAGAAAAGGACCAAGAATAGGGGGAAGGTCCCTTTCTTTTCATGTCAAAGTTGGGGTTCATAGTCCTGATTGACATCTATATTAGAACATTCCTCAGCTCTGCGTGGAAGGTCAGGCAAGCTGAGTTCACTTCACGGACTATGAGAATTGTGCTCCCGGGGGCTTCCAGACCTCTCTGAGTCAGCCAGGGGTAAGGGTGAGGGTGGGGGTCAGGAGTGGGGTGCAGCAGGGATGTTGGATAACTGAAAGGAATGCTTTAGTTCTCTGGGATTAGAGGGCCTTCTTCTATTGGCTGGTTTGGGCTGGAATCTGTGCACCCTGCAGCTCTGGGACAAGAATAGTTCTGCTGTGTCTGGCTTTCTCAGAGCCCGGGTTCCCTACCCCCAACCCATGCCAGCACCTTCCTTTCCCAACCCTCAGCCTGCCTTTTAGGCACAGAGACAGATAGGGGGACGAAGCTATCTTCCATGGATAGGTTGGAAGTGAGGTTGGAGGACTGGGGAGAGGAAAAGGCTTAAATCCCAGAACCAGCTTTCACGTTGCCTTCCCTAACTCACGAGGTCCTAGCAGGAGGCACTGAAAGGACAGAAACAGTCCTGGCTATGAAGCAATGGGAGGGTTCAGTGCCTCCTAATGTGGCTGTGATCAGGACACTGGAGTCCTAAACGTTGATTCTTTGGGAAAGGAAGGGGTGGGGATACGTGGGAAACAGGCTGATCAAAAGAGAGAAAAGGACAGGATGGGGAAGGGAAGCTTGAAGAAAGAGGTTTGGTTGTGCTCGGGCTTGGGGAGGGTCTTGGAACCTGGAAGTGGGGGTTGTCTGGTGGTGAAGGCAAAATGGGAAACACTGGTATGCTTCACTGCCTCCACATTGTAGCAAGTCATAAAGGCCACAGCTTTTCTCGTGAAGCACCAGAGGAGAACAAAAATTTGAAGGCTAGGCCTGCAATATTGGTGCCGAGCCCCGGTCCCATCCAGTACACCTGTGGGGAGAGAGGAGGAACACAGAGCAGGGCCTGTGCTCCTCTCCTCCTCCTATACCCAGCTTGGGGATGGACAGGCAGGGTAACAACAAAGGCGGAAGTTGCTGAGAACAGGTTAGAGGGCACCCAAGGGAACTGGAGCTTCCAATTTCATGGAAGAGGAACCTATCAGAGTGTCTTGGAGTCTCATGATTTATAAGCTTCACCCATCTCCTGACTTCAGGTCCAGTGATGCTCCCAGATGCCAGTCATCACTGCTGGACCCAGAGAGTGAACAGGGTTCGTGTTGCTTCTAAAAAAGGACCCCTGGCCCAGCTGGTGTGGCTCAGTGGTTGAGTGTCGACCTATGAACCAGGAGGTCACGATTCAATTCCCAGTCAGGGCACATGCCCAGGTTGCGGACTCGATCCCCAATAGGGGGCGTATAGGAGGCAGCTGATCCATGATCCTCTCTCATCATTGAGGTTTCTATCTCTCTCTCAGTCTCTCTTCCTCTCTGAAATCAATAAAAATAATAAACAAACAAACAAACAAATAAAAAAGGACCCCTGGATAGGAGAGAAGTAGTACACATGGTATTAAGAGCAGAGACTTTAGCAACAGATACTTTGGTTCAGATATAGGACAGAACTAGTTATGACTGCTGGTGGGAGTGTGAATTGGGATAACCATTTGGAACACAGTATAGCAACCTCTTGTAAAGGTAAACAAACACATGCTTTCTGACTCGGGAATGTCACTGCTCACTTATATACCCAAGAGAAACCTTTCTAAACCTCCACCAGGAGACATCCACAGAGCAGCACTGTTCACAACAGCAAAACACTTGAAGTAACCCAAGTGCCCATTGACAGGAGAATGGGTGAATAAACAGTGGTATATTCACACAGTGGAAATTATTCAGCAGTCAAAATGAGTGAACCCCACAGTAACACTCAGTAATAGGGATGAATTTTAGCAATAAAATATCAAGAAAAAATAGTGCCAGCAGACTATGCATGGCATAACCTTTTTTGTAGAGTTAAAAAACATCTAAATGAAAATATGCTTCTCCGAATACTATAATTGAGATGAAACTACACAAAAAAGAAAACATGTGTGTGTGTGTGTGTGTGTGTGTGTGTGTGTGTGTGTGTTGATTTCTGTGACTGTTAAGGTTCTTGTTTTACTTGTGGGTGGATGGTTAATAATGATGATTAAGTATTATCTTAAAAAGAAACCAAGTAAGTGTGAGCCATATAAGCCAACGAGGAGCGGATGTCATAAACAAAGAACTATTCTGTACACTTGAAATCCATTAAGAACAGCAGCAACAACAAAAATCTTGGCTTTACCACTTTCTAGGTGAGGAAGCTATCCCCACTAAATATAAACTCCAGGGAAGTGGCGATGTGTCTGATTTGTCCACCACTGCAAACCCATGCTTGACACATTTATTGAATAAATTAATGTAAGCTCTCTGGGCTTCATCTTATCAAATGTAGGTAAAGGCCTAGTATAGTGCCTAACACAGAATAAAGCACTTAATAAATAGGAGCCATTTGACCAGGGTTTTATTCCCAGGAAGGGATTATCCCTAACCATCAACTCTGTAACCTCTTATAATAAGAGACAGAGGACAAAGAGCAGCTAATTTGGTTCCTTTATAGATACCACACAAAATGGTTAGATTTTTGCCTTGGCTGCTGTGGCTCAATTGGTTGAGCATCATCCCATGCACCAAAAGGTCACCAGTTCAACAGGGTCAAGGCACATGCTGGGTTTTGTCTCGATACTCAGTAGGGGGTGTGCAAGAAGCAGCCGATAGATGTTTCTCTTGTCGATGGTTCTATCTCTCTCTTCTTCTCCCTTCCTCTCTCGCTTCAATAAACACAAACATATCTAAAAATGATTAGATTTCCTTATTTGATGCTACCAACCTCTCTCCTTTATTCCTCATTAAACCTCCCCCTGGAGGACTGAACGCCAGCCCATTTCCTTTCACACCAGCCTCTCCACTCCGTGGAACGCCAAACTTGCAAACTAGAGATGAACTCTCAAAAAATCACTTGAGTTTTTGCATTGACTTAGATATAATTAGCATACTCAATGTTTTCTATTAATCTAGCTTCTTAAAACACAAACACAAAAAACAACAACTGTCTCTCCCTTGAGGAGTAGAATCCAGCCTTCCCCAAGCCCCCTGTTTGGTATGGGTGGGGTTCTTCCCCTGCCAGTGCTCCAGCAGTCACTGAGAGACCCACCACCAGGCTGCCTTCCCCATCTAACCCTCCACGTTGTGGGGAAGACACAGCAAACACAGTGAGTACCAGCTGGAGAGTAGAGAAAAACTCCATGCTCAGAGCTTGGTCTATATGAGTCCTCTTGCTCACCAGAGGACACATACATCCTCCCTCTGTCCTCAGGCCCCATGATCCATCCACCAAAGAAGCTTTAAGCAAAGGGTCTGCAGCAAGTCACCCAAAATCCTGAATTGCTGAACAAAACCTCATTGGTCTATTTGCATGATATTGGCTCAATGAGAGGATGCACAGAGTAGGGGTGCTCCCTTTTTTGTTCCTTCCTTAAAGTCTTTTTAAAAA